TTACTGTCCCACATTAGGTTATTGTCCCAGACTTTTAAATAAACATGATCTTAGCCGGGGCCTTTGCTTATTGCATTTAGTTAAAGCATCCCTGCTCATGCTTGACTGGCTGTGTCCATCAACTCAGGGGAGCCTGACTTGCTGCAAAATCCTAATACACATGAAACTGCTGCAGCTGTTGGTCTAACCTTTGAGTGTCTCCTAAGGAGCACAGTGATATTTGCACTTAATAAAATTATGCCTACCAGGAGAATATGCCACTGACATTTGCCATTTGTCAAGTTGAGGTGGCAGCGAGGCTTTATGAGTCATTAGTGCTGAGGGTACGGTCGACACTTGCTTAGCCTACAGTCGCCTATTACTGTACATGGGGGCAATATCGTTAGGATCATACTGTATGTAACACATGCCACATTACATGAAGGGAGTCTTTTCACCCTTCAACTTGCTTGTATAAGATCCTGTTTTGTTTGTTCATCTCTCACACAGCACTGATGAAAATACACTGCTCAAAAAAATTAAGGGAACACTTAAATCACACATTGTATCTTGATGAATGAATCATTCAAGTTGAAAACCTTTACTAATGTATGTTGTATAATATGTTCAGAACAAAATGACACAACAGTCAGTGGAAATCAAAATCATCAACCCATGGAGGGCTCTACTCAGTATTACACTGAAAATCAAAGTGAAAAATTGAAATCACAGGCTCTTTCAAGTTGTGTGATTGTCATCACGACAACTCATACTGTGACTCTAATGTGTGTATGGCCCCATGTACCTGTATGCACTCCCAACAATGTCTGGGCATGATCCTGCTGAGTCAGTGGATAGTGTCCTGGGGAATCTCCTCCCACACCTGGCTCAGGACATCACTGACCTCCTGGACAGTCTGTGGTGGTACCTGGTGACGTCGGATGCACTGATACATAATGTGTGCTCAGTTGGATTTAGTTCAGGGGAACGTGAGGACCAGTCAGTGGCATCAATGCATTTGTCATCCAGGAGCTGCTTATAGACTCTGACCACATGAGGCCAGGCATTGTCCTGCACCAGGAGGAACCTGGGGCCCACTGCACCAGTGTAAGGTCTGACAGTCGCTGTGAGGATTTCATCTCGGCACCTCACAGCAGTCAGGGTACTGCTGGCTATGACATGAAGGTCTGTGTAGCCTCCCCAGACCATCACTGACCCACCACCAAACCGGTCATGCTATAGGCAGCATAACGTTCACCACGGCATCTCCAGACTCTTTCATGCCTGTCACATGTGCTCAGTGTGAACCTGCTCTCATCTGT